CACCCACACCCACACCCACACCCACACCCACACCCACACCCACACCAACACCCACACCCCACACCCACACCCACACCCACACCCACACCCCTTGAATATGTTTACTACAGCTCAAGCGAATGAGCTGGTTTTTTATCAATGGCAGAGGCTTGTTTAAGTTTTGTATCCATAAAGAAATGTCTAGAGAGACCCTTTGCTAAGTATATGGTTTCTTTTTCCTATCTGTGAAAAAGTAGAATTTTTTGTTGAGGTCAATAATGATACGTAACAAAGGGTCTATCTAGGCATGTTTTTATAGATATAAACCTTGAATATGCTTCTATCCTTGACAAAAAAAATTAGCTCATTTGCTTGAGCTGTAATTCATTTGTTCTATTTTTTAGATATGATCGTGATCGTAAACGTACAATGAGTACACCCTCACCCAATGATCGTAAATGTAAAATGGATAAACCCTCATCGTGAAATTAATTTTTTTCATTTTTTTTTTGAAAAAGAAAAAAAATAAAAAAGAGGAAGAAGAATTTTTGTAACATCATTAGTCATTTGACTTATAATTTAGGTTAAAATTTTTTTACGAATATCAACATCCAACAAATTCAATAGACACAACAAGATAAAAATGATCGTCGTTATTCAACATTACCAATGATTATTAAAGTTCTTAGTGTACTTTCAAATAATGAATGGGAAGAATATTTTCCTGAATTATCTGAATATACATTGACATTGGCTAAATTACTTGTCTATGAAATACATCTATGTGTTGATAAAGAAATTTAATCCAAGTGCAGCAAGTCAAGTTGTTATTGAATATCTGAAAATCAATGATGATATGAATTCTTTATCAGGATGGACATTACTTCGTTTAATTAAATTATTATTAACAGGACCTAATTTAATTATGAATAAATTTGCTCAAGCATCATTTATCAAGTACGTCTGCTAAATATTTATATTTATTTTTTGATTTACCGGAAATTTCAACAAACAAATCATTCAAATAATGATATTATATCACCTAAAGAAAAACGTATATTCTTTCAACAAATATTTTTTTCAAGTAAGATGTATAAAAAGAACAAAGATATTTTATATATTTCTATTATTATTTAGCTTTTATCTCGTATTGCAATGTCTAATTCATGTGTTGAAAAATTGACTCGTGTTGTGATGATCTTTTATTATTATTCAATGCAATATCAAGTAATTGTCCTGAACGAAATCAACCATGGAGAAAATAAGCATCTGATATGCTTAGTCTAATTGAAAAACATACATTACCATCAGCTATTCAATGCATTCATATTAAATGAAATTTTTTTTCGAATAATCAAAACAAAAAACCCCACAAATCTTGTTTTGTATTGAATAGATGCTCGATGTATATTTCAATGTGTGAATAATTTACGTCAAGGAACATGTGATCTATCATTAGTAGATATGGCACATATTTATGAAACATTAATATGTTTATTAATCGAATCAGCATCATTATCACCTAGTCTTATGAATGATTTTCGTCTTGCACATTGTTATGTTCATATGAAAGATATTATTTTGAGGTAAATATGTCAATCAATCAAATTGAACTTATTTCTCGTTGTTTATAATATTATTAGTAAAGCTTTTTTTCGGACTTGACTATCATATTTAGCGGAAAAATCCTAATCACAATAGAATATCTAAAAGAGTTCTTTTTTTTTTCTTAAAAAGATTGATTAATAAAAAACGAAATTGAATTTTTGTTTTCTTTCAATAGACTGGAAAATGAATGGATTAATGATGAATCTGAAAAATTATTTGCACGTTTTATTACATTACTCGGTGATTTTACTTATGTAGGTTATCATGAACTTAAATTACCTGCTAGACCTGAAACAATTTTTGATATTCCAAATTTTGTTATGCCACAATCGAAAAACACCGGTAGAAAAAAAAACCTTCTTCTAACCTTAAAAAATTAATTTATTTCATTAAATTAGGTTTTATTGTTCGTAATCTTTCTGCATTTACAATTCTTCAATCTATTTTCAACAGGTTTGTCATAAGTTCATTGATTTATTATTATCTGTTTCTTTTTTTTTTGTTTTCTTAGTCAAATCATCCATTTCTTGTTAATATTGTATTTGATACAATCAGTAGTATTATATTAACCGACAATGCAAATTATTTTCTTTGTGGTGAAAATCTTTCACCACTTACTGAAATTTTTTATAATAAATCAAATGATGTTCAAATAAAAATTAATGATCTTTTGGAATTTATTGTATTTCAACTTAAATATATTCCATATAGAGAACTTGTTAATTTATCTATTATGCTTAAATCAAATAAGCATGTTGAAGTTTATATATCTAAAATCTTACAGTTGAAATATTCTTTTTTTTTTGTTAAATACCTTTGATAATATTTTTTACGAACGAATAGATTTTGTAAGGTTTTAATTCAAGGACATTTCTCTACTGATGTTTTTTTCTTTAGTTCTATACAAAGTCATAAAAATTGTGTCAAATATTTAATCCATATACTTAAATTTAATAATATATTAAAAGATGCTCTTCGTGAATTGGGTTTTATTGAAGTACTGATCACACGTTTACATCATTTTACAACATTACTTAAAAAATCAGTACACGATCCAAATGGTAACAAATGAGAATATTTTATTTTATCTCGTAATTAAATATTTTCTATTTAGATAAAGGTGATAATATGAATCAAGAAGAAAAAGAATTAGGTTTTATGGTTATGGAAGCATTAGCTTTACTTTTATCACATAATCAAAAAAATGCTAGTAAATATATTAATGTTTTGGTTTAATAGATTTTTTAAGAAAAATAGATGTTTCGAGATGCAGCGTGATAAGCTGCAGCTGAAAATAACACTTCAGAGTTACATGAGCAGGTGAAACACTCAACCAGCTGAAGCTATTCAAAGCTCAGTTTACTCTTGGGAATATTTGATACATGAAATTTTTATTAGTCTTTCTGGTTTCCTTCAGGTTTTATATTGAAAATAAGATCAGATTTTTTTAAAATATTCATATTCTCGTAGAATTTGTCGAACTCTATCGAACAATATAAAAATATCTAGAAAACAATATGTCACTTAGAGTGTTAAAAGCAATTTTTGTTTTTGAAAAACATGTCTCTTAAAAATTTTCACTCAAGATTAGTAAAATGACCATAACATTGTTATGAATTTATGTATTTTGAATTATCTTCTTTTCAGAATATAGCTCTAACCTTTCTCTACAAAATGACATAATTTGATCAATAACTTCATAGAAGTTTATTGTAGATATCATCGATTTACTGAGAGGGATCGAAACTTTCTGATCACCCTTTAGTATGTACTCAGCCGATTAAATCAGAACTATTTGAGTCAAATTACATCTGTTACCGATGATTAGCATAAGTATTGAACTCTAAAAGTTCCTCATTCTCCTATAATAACTTTCAAACATCATAGATATAATAGTGAACAAAAGTCTTTGTCATAAAGAATCTCAGACATTATAGATGGTAGAGAACTGAAAACTTATGTGTAGATACGTTGTCAAAAATTTAACTCAGGAACACAAACCTGCTTCGATTGTTTAGGTACACAGAATTATGAGGGATAGCACATATGTCGCCTGAGTTCATAAGAACTACAGTTTGATGTTCTCACTACATATATCCTCAGAATTTATTATTGCCTTACAGTTAGTTAACTATGAGGAAATATGTAAATAAATAAAAAAATTTATTTGAACTAAGTAAAAGAGGCTTTTTTTCTATCAATTATAACGTCTCTGAATAAAGTTTTGGGATAGGTTTGGTTTTCTAGTGTTACACAGAATTTAGTTCTTTACTGATTACAGTAAGCTAGAACTCCAAAACAATCAAACTTTATATAGATTTTTCGAACGGTTACTCTTTACGTGAGGCAGTATTTTAAAAAAAGCACTACTTCCGAATCTCGGTATTTAGAGTGTAATAAATGTACAAAAAATATTTTCTTATAGTTTGGATTGAGATAGTTCTTTATCAATCTGCAAAACTGGACTATACGAAAAATTTTGAACAGATGCTGTGTTTGGCATTCGTCAAAGATCTGTTCTCAATGTGCTATCTTTAATTCTCGATTACTATTCGCCTGTTGCCACATGAAAGATGTTTTGTTAGTCTAGTCGAACTCAATGTAAATGAATAAGAAGAATTTGGCTTGTTTTGCTTGATTTACGCTAGACATAGATGAATCGAAGATCTTTATCATGATCTTTTCAGATACAAAAACATCATTATCGTTTCTGACGTATAAACACATTTGTAGTTTAAAGGATATCTTTCTCAAAGATTATGGTAATAGTACGAAAAATTGAAAGCTTTAGAATTTTGGTCATTCGAGACCAAATCTAAATAAAATGTCAAAACTGTTCTAGCTTTATTGAACCCTATGCACAAAAATTTTCAGATCTTCAACATTTATGATGACTGAGATTTCCTAGGACAGAGATTTCTGTCTATTAAAATGATCTAAATGACATAAATTGTATTGCTTAAATCATAATCTTTTTTTGACAACAACTACAACGAATGTGTAAATATTCGTTTGAGAAATACTTTCCTATTAATTATATTAACAAAGAAATACTTAATTGGATTGAAATGTACCGATTCGAAATAGTCAACACTGACTGTCGAAACAAAAAGGTAATGTTAAAGGCTTTCAACAAAATATGAAGATCAATATAAAAGAACTATTTATTCAAAATAAACGGTTATATTGTAGTTGATTATAATAATATAAATATGCTGTTTTTTTTTAATAACACGAATTCATAATATAAGATATATATATATATATATGGAAAAAAAAAGGAATTAAATATGTACTTTCAACAAGTCTAAACCAATGAACATGAAAATTCGTACCATAAGAAGAGCAAACACACTAATCGTTTTTTTTACTCTTGTGAAAAGTATTTTATCAGTTATTCAGAAAAAAAAAATATGAATTAAAAATAATAAGCTTGGAAAAAGAAAGCGAATATAATATCGTAAAAAATCATCGATCCATACGTAATTATTATCATTCTTCTTTGAATTCAATACATTTGTCTTTTGGCCATTCTAATGTATATTCAAGTGGTAATCGACATTCAGTTCTAGGTTGTAATACACATTTCCATTCGAGATTATTTGAACCATTCATTGTTACAATATAATTTGAATTTTGTTCTTTTATTCGTAAATCAGGTACAAGTAATTTCACTTTAATTTTTTCATCTAATGAAAATGGTACTTGTTCATAAACATAAACAATAACTTCAATTGATTTTGTATTGATAAGATGTGTTTCACGACGAATATTTTCATAATATGTTTTTGAAATAAGACCTTGTGTTTCAGTAATTTTCTTCACAGGTTTATATTCGACTTTAATACTTGTGTCAGTACCTAATGAAAGTTCAAATTTATCTCCCAAACAAACATTATCAATTGAACTATGTCTAATAAAATTGTTATCCATAAAAACTGATACTGGCCCAGCTAGAAGTAATTTGTTCGATGTATTTATTGTTGATGCTCTGAGATATGCATGAATGGATAGTTTTGGTACAACTGTATAGATAAATGTTGAAGTAAGATCAAGAACACCTATTGTTACTTTGTGTGGCTTACCCTATACGAGAGATTGATGTTTATAAATAGAAAGAATTTAAAAACGAAATAAAACTTACATCAGCATCAATAGTTGATCTTCGAGGAATGACAAAATTAACACCTAACATATTCGCTTCAGCTGTAGTCGACAAAACGTTAATTATATTTATTGCTTCGGGTTCATCTTCTACAACGATTTGATTGGAATTGAAAGATGATCGTTCTCGTGAAGTAACAAATCCTTCAGATTTTCTCGATTGTCGACTTGATGAAATGAATGAAAAAAGTTGTGAGGAGGCTCCATAGGTATTGTCTTTCTTATCTTTTACTTCACACAGTTCATGATACTTCTCATAAGGTTGATAATAGTCAATTTTTAGTGTAGGTAATTTTGGTGGTATTCCTCCAAGAGATGGAGTTGCTGTCGACAATGATAATTGTACGTCTGACCAATTTTCTTCACTTTTGTTCATCTAAAACATATCATATAAAATGTCTTTTCATTCAAATAATTTCTTTTCAGATACTCACGACGACACCATAATAAGTTAATTGAGTCGCTTGTTTTGATGTATCTGTAGTATTGACACGAACATCATAACTAGCACTCCATGAGCAATTACTTATCAAATAGGATATCTCTAAATTAACATCAATATTAGTACAACCTATATGCACTGTTATGGTCACTTCCCGACGTTCGTTTCGACGATTTGATTGATCATCAACACCATATTCAGCTATTTTTATACGTAAATCATCTCGTTGTTGTTTTAATTTTTTGATTTCATCTTCCTCGTTTGTTTTTCGATCATCTAATTTTACTAGAGCTTTATGATAAAAATCCATAAATTCATGTAATGCATCAAGGTCATTAGCATTGAGTTGTGTGTCTTGATTCATGAGTTTCGACGCTCGTCCTTCAAGCCATGCACGTTGTTTATCAAGACGTGTGATTTCTCGTTGATGGACAGCAAAAACAGCTTCAATCTTCTCAAGTTCACTATATAGTTGATCTAATCGTGTTAAATCAGCTTGTGATACTATATTTTCATAACATGTTTGATATGAAACTTCAAGAATAGTACATGTTTTGCCTGTTCCTCCACTAACATGTAGTGATGTATGATCAACAAATGGAGAAAAACCTTCGAATACAAGATCATAAGTACCTTCAACATTGAAATGATGCCGTAGTTGACGTGTAACTTCAGCACGGTCATTATAAACAATAACATGTTGTATTGGACATTGCTGATCGATATTAAAACGAAGGTTAGATGTTTTTGTGTTGTTTATGTTGAATGTAGTTAGTGGAGTAGGTTTTGTGCTCATTTTTGATATCCTTCGCTCCCTCACAAGAATAATAAATGACTACAGTATATTTTTCGAATACATGAATGTAACTTAATTGCTCAACGGGATTGCAATTATTTTTCTGTTCTTTAATATCACCAAACAGTAACCTGTTGTTATGTTTGATATCCACAATGCATCAATGAGTTAGACACGAATGAAAAAAAAGAATGTGAAGTACAAAATTTTTCGCCTAAATGAGTCATCCGCATCAGTAAGATTAGTTATATTTTTTATGCTATTTACTTTACTTGCAAAATTTTCTTCACATTTATTTTCATAATACTACAGACTAAATATGTACCAAGATTGTGTGTGTGGATACACAAGGACATCAATATACCAAGTGAAGAACTATGCAGAACTTTTCTTGCGATATTTGTTCTCGACTTTTAGGACAGTACGGAAAATCGGAAATAACATGTAGAAAAAAAAACGTTGACGAAGTAGCTGGCAAAACATATTTTGTTTGAATTTTAGTTATCATAATTTTGCTATTGGTGTATAACTGTTGATCATAATCTTTACTCAATTATAGATTATAAAGATAGCTTCACTCTAAAATATAGATGTAGAATAATAAATCCATTGCTTGAGAGTTTATTTCGTTCAGTTGTCCAAAAAAGTTTATGAACACAGATAACAGTATAAGGTTATGTCAATTTGTACCGGTTCACAAATTCTTGCCAGAGTTTATGAACAGAAATGATTTATGTAATGGGAATAAACGGATAACGAGAGTTTGTTACTTAATATCTATCTTTTTATAGTGCTGCCTCAATCTATATAAATCTTAAGCATTTGAATCATCCTTTAATCAATTCCACTATTTCTTCATTCATTGTTATATTTACTAATGGTCTTTTAACGTGTGTAAAGCCTCAGTAAACTGACTGGTTAGAGTTATTCCTTCTTATTATATCTATAGACCTCGAGTGAGTATCAGATATTTTAGACGAAATTTTGATTGTTCTAGAGATATTAAATCATAGCATTCACTTCAGTATCTCGTTCTTTGAAGCATTGTCTTTTCAAAAACCTTGGATTACGAGAGTAACAAAGCACTTGAGCAGTTTTGATCACTTTTTGGCACACATGATTTCAACTAATTAAAAGATACACCCTTTTTTCTAATTTCAATTGATCAATGTATTGATATTACTATAATAATGTTCTACCTGTTTATATTCTTTTCTTTTTTAAGAAGCAATAAAATCAATTAAGTTTTCGACGACACGAGAACTAATCATTCTTTCGTTTGTTTTTTTCAGAAAAAAATATTATTTTGAATTGTGTAATTCTTTTTTATAAATCGCTTTATTTGAAAGACAAGTTATTTGATTTTTTTCTAGCATTACAAGTAAATATGCATGACATTGAAGAAAAATCTATACAATTGATATGAGAAAGAAGTCATATTGTAACTAGGAATAGATAGTCAATATCTAAAAAAACAAATTTTTGTTTTATTTTCTGATGTTCATCTGCCATACATGATCAACATTGAAACTAGATCACCATATGTACTGTTCTATGAATAAAGAAAAGCATGCATTAGAATTGTCAAGTAAACGAATGGAAAAATAGCGTCAGTCATTCGTTCAGTCAGTCGTTGACTCATTTATTCTTAATTCAGATTATATAAAAACAGATAGTTCTTTCGTCTTGTTGATGGCACCGGGCAAATTAGAGCAAAAGTGTATATAAGTACTTGTTAAAAAATAATTGACACATAGAAGTGAACATGGAAGATTTATGTGTCCGACTGACAGATATGCCCGATGAAATACTTTTGTTGATATTGAATAAATTAACCAATATCGAAGTACTTTATTCTCTAATAGGCATTAATATACGACTTGATAAAATCGTAAATGATCCTATTTTTACTGAACATTTAACACTAATGAGACGTTCATCGAATGGTGTTATCAATTTACTTGATGATTCAATACTTAAACGATTTTATTCAGAAATATTGCCTAAAATTCATTATAAAATCAAGTGGTTTGATCTCGAACCATTATGTATGGAACGTATTCTTCTTGCTGCTGACTATCCGAATTTACATGGCCTTTCTCTGTTCAATATTGAACGTGAGACAATTTTACGTTTGTTTGATGGTAAGCATTTTCATTTCTATTGATTTAATCACCAAACTATGGAACTTATATGAAGATGAATAATATAGTATTTTTAATATAATTGAGTACATCATTGCAAATTGTTTATGCCAATCCATTTTTGAGCTTAGTTATAAATAAAAGTGATGAAATAAATATTAAGAGAGTGAAGAAAACTAACAATAGACAGGCAGCATAAAGATCGACATCGAAAGTAACGAATTATCGAGCTTAGAATTCGAAATAAGACTACAAGAATTTTTTTAATTTTTTTAAATATCTTTCGAGGAAACTCATTTAGATCGCATCTTCAAAAATCATATTAAAACATTGATTATTACAATCGCTAAAAATGAAATAATAGGATCAACATCAGACATAATCAATATAGTGTGTACATATGTTTTAATTATGTGCACAAATTTACTATGCTTAAAATTTCATCCATATTCCGATATTTATGTTGACTTTCGTGAACGATTATCTTTCGAATCAATAGAACCTGCAAGATTTTTTTCTTCAAATTTAATGGAATTACAAATCAATGTTGACGATTTTACTGATTGTCTTTATCTGCTTGATGGTCGTTTCCCACGACTTTGTATTTTCTATGTTGATGTTCGTTTGTTTACTCCTCCATCACCAGCAATTATTAACAAGATAGATTATTAGAATTAAGGAAACTAAGAAATTTTATTTTGTTTCTTGTTCATGAAGAATTAATTCATTTGAAATGTTTTTCATTGACTTGTAGTTTAGAAACAATGTTTTATGAAGAATCGATTGTACCTCTCCTTCATCGAATGTGTAATCTAGAAGAATTATTCTTGAATCTCTCTATCGGTCGTAGTACTAATAAATCATTCATTGATGGAAATGATTTGAAAATAGATATTCTGAGTCATATATCAAAGTTAAATAAATTCGTATTCAATATTCATTCAAATTTAAATGTTGATGATTTAACTCATTTGCCATCAAACGAAGATATTCAACGTACATTTAAAGGTCTCGAAAATTATCAAATCATTTCTTATATCCATTATTTTCCAGATGATCATATTGGTCAATGTCATATTTATTCACAACCGTATACAATGAATTATTTATATCTACTTACAAATAATTTTTCAGGTGGATTATTCAAGTTTGTTCATAAAGTCTCACTATTTGATGAACATCCTTTTGAACACGAATTCTTCATTCGAATTGCTCAATCATTTCCATTGCTTGCAACATTGTCCATTGAGAATCAGTCACCACAAAATCACAAAGAATGTCAACATTTGAACAAAGACCATTGCAGTTTGCCAGTTATTAAATATTCTCATCTAACTCTGCTCTGTCTTCATATGGCTCATGATGATTACATCGAACAATTTCTAATTCATACTAAAACATGTCTATCAAATTATATTAGTCTTAGTATCTATTATCCTTCTCTTCAAAAGGTAACTAACAACTTCACAAGAGATACAACACGAATCAACTGTGTCAAAGTTAATTATATATACGATATTGACAAACTGAATCTTCCTAAACATTTCCATACATATTTTCCTTATGTTGAAAAGTTCTGACTTTTTTTAATTAATTGAATAAATCGGATAAAACTTAAAATTAAATTATTTAAGTTGTATATAACCAATACAAATATCAAAATATCGTTAAAGCTCAAGAAAAAAGTATTCGATTCCATAAACTAAAGAAACGTGAGGTGGACACTCGTTTCTATACTATTTAAAGTCAAAATCAGTCATGACACAATCTTCACTTTTTTTAATTTACATTCATGCATTAAAATAAAATGTTCAGTCTTCCGATCAAATTGAAATTCATGATTTCAATCAAAATGATTTGCTAGTGTACTTAAATTTAAATGCGCATGTTTTGTAATATACATACATCAATCAGATAACAAGGGATGTGCTACAGCACCAGATTTTTATTCAAAAAAATGCTTTTTTTTGTCATATAAAAAGTTAATTTTTTGTCTTTTCTTCATCATCGATATCATCATCAATAGTTTGTCCATCAGGCATCAGCATGTTTCCTGAACCGATTTTATCTTGTTGCAATGAACTGATGATATTGATTTCAAAATCTAAAGAAAAAGAAAACATGCTATACATAGAAAAAATCAAGTTTTTTCTCTTACCAGTAAATGTTGAATGAACTGAATACATAACAGCATGACCACTTGGTTGATTGACATTTGAATCTAAGGAAAAAAACATATTCAAAAAAAAAACCAAGTTTTTTTACCAATTGGTATTTGTTTAAAAGGTTTTATTTTTCTATCATATTTTTCATACAATTCACGAACTTTTTCATGAATGCTAAAAATGGGAAAAATTTAATAGAGAAAAGAACGATCAGAATAAAAGTTACATACTAGTTTTCGTTTTTGAGATCAACTTCTTCTAAGTCTACTCGAGTTCGTTTAGGTTTGTTGAGTTTCTAGAAAAAAATTACGATTGTAAATAAAATATACAATATTTTAAAGTTATCTTTCGTCAAAATAACAAATTAATTTTTTAACAGACCGAAACAATTCAATCTTTCGTGAATTAAAATTTTGTTTGTGATAAATTGATTTCACTGAAGTCATCGGTTTTTTCCAATTTTGAGTAAGATCAATTTTATTTTTAAAAAAATACAAATAAATTTCGGCAAGGACAAAACTTTTTCTTATTCGACCGTCTTATGTTAAAACATAATTGTTTTTAATTAAATAGTCATGAGTATGGGTGTGGGTGTCGATCAAGACAATACTAATACTCTCACCCACACCCTATTTCGACAATATGTGCATTAGAATAATCTATGTGAAGTACTCAGAGTTATTTTCTATAATACTAATTTAATTCATTTTTGAGTTCTTGTTGTCTGAAAAACATTTTTTTCCAGTAGATAATTTCTAGAAAGGCAACGGACGCAATTTATAAAGACGACATTGAGTATAGGCAGAACGTTCTATAAGTATTGTCATATACTGCTTGGGCATTCGATAAAAGTATCGTTATGAGGCAACTTTCTATTTTTCGATAGCACTTCTCAACTCCTTTGTCAAAAGTTGCATTACTATTCTTGTTTCTTCACATAAAATTTCCTTGTTATCGAGCATGCTGACATTTCTCACTTTTCGTATTTCTTTTAACTTCTTGATACTCTGACTTGCTAATGTCAGTCCATATTGATCTCTAGTCTTCGAAAATGTCGCCCTCTTCTAAATAAGAGCAATTAAACAAATGTAATATTAGTTACCTACACTATTTTGCTTTTCTTCTTCTACCCAAAATATTTGAAACAATGGTAATACAATTTTAATAGTGTTTAGTTCGCATCAAGAAAGCGGCATTCGTATCGAAAGAAATATTTTCACAAAAGAGTACAACTGATTAATGATCGTTTGTACTAATAATGAATTCTTCTCTTGAAATAGACCTAATATTAAAGGATGAACAAATCTTTATTACGTTGAGAGTGTGATGAATGCAAAACCGATGGTATGTGAATGAAACTATTCCGTTTAATCTATTCCTTCATGCATGCTCCTCTTCCATTGGATTTTTTTATATAGGTAATATTTATGCTAATATATGTTAATTAATTTATGCGTATTACAATGTTGTGTCAAAATTTTGACATCTTTTTCTTGAACATTGAAAGATCACAACGGATGATGTTTTCAAGTCTACAGAGGTTAAATATTCCGGAAGATTTTCAATTATATTGACATTTTCGTTCTCACCGAGTGTTTTTGGTTTAAATTGAATATAAAACCATTTTTATGTTGTGTGTTATTATGGATGAAAAATGATTCGAAACAAATATCAATCTGTCTTTTTCAGTAATCGAAATCTTCAATTTCTTTTGTATTTTATGATATATTTGTCGAATTTCTAATTTATTACTATAATAAGTTATTCAAGCATCAAATCATATGTTTATTGTGTATCATCTGTTTGATTATTCATTCATCATTATCACGATCACTAATCATTCACGCAATATACATCTGTCAATACACATATCAAAGAATTGTCAATTAGCGATACCGTCGATTCGGTTATTAGAGCACTATCTTATATATATTAACCAAAACATAGTCAATCGATAACATGATGTCTTTTACAACACCAACACGTCCATTAGAGTCAAGTGCAAAACGTCTTCTTAAACGAGTAAATGTGTGTACTGAACGTAGTTTTGAACGAACACCTATTCGATACGCAATTTCGAAACGAAAAACAATAGAAATTCTATCGTCTACTATGTCATCCGGTATTACTCTATTAAGTAACGATGATCAAACACTTGTTGGTGATCATACTATTAGTAATGATTCATTATTATCTCTGGATAGAACACTTACAGAAGACAACCATGAAAAGGTTAGTACGAGTTGCAAAATGAATTTACAAAAAAAAAACTCTATGCATTTTAGAATAAATTCAATGAAACAACTATTACAACGACTTGGGAAATAATTGATAGTATCGATAATAATTCTGATTTTAGTATTATTACACTCAATCAATCTGACGTATCACAAGCCACTGTTATAAGCAAACGATCAACAAAAAGTAAAATTCTATTTTTTTATTAAATATCTATAACAAAATGTATTTCTTTTTTATTTTTAGCATCAATTCGTCCATCCTCACTGTTAGCACGTGTTTTGAAACTATCAATGCCAAAGCCATCGACAAGTGTTAAATATATCAATCGACATGTACGTGATATCGATCGATTGAATGATACATTTGGTCAAGAATGGATTACATTACCGAATTTTGTCTAAATATAAGATATCTTCATCACGTTTTGTATTTTAAATTAACTCAAAAAATAAAAATAAAAAAAAAACGTAGTTTCTATCCGCTTCTCATCTCACTAACGCACTCGTTTCTGTCACTCATGGCTTCATTGAAGTTATGTATCTTTTTTAGCATTAATGAACACAAGCAAAAAAGTCATGTATTATATATAATTCAACTCAATAATCGATAACATCAACTTTATTCAGATTTAAAGAGCATCATAGAACGTGTGTCCTGCAAGATGTATAGGTCACTTGTTCGATAATGATCCAATGAAGTTGTAATCTAGTAGCGAAACTCTTTATAACTTTCAATTATTATTAATAGTAATCAGAAGAGTAGATGTCATTCTATCAAATTGATAACATCATATTTCTTCAGACAAGAAATTCAAGCAAAAGAAAACCTATCTCTTCTCGTGATTCATCTGTTTGTATTAATTAAATTTTGAATTCTATGTCTTTGTCCTTGTTTTGTTCACACTATGAATTTGTTCATTTCATTTCCTCTGAAAAATATTGATAAGGTTTATTGACTTAATCATATTGTAAATGATTTTTTTGTCCGAGTAGTACACCTGTTATATTTTTCATCCTACTATCTATTTAGAAAAAATTTTTTTCTTGTTAAAAATGCAATGAAAATATCGTCTTGCAAACGGAACGTAGGAAGATCCTTTGTACGTTGATAAGACAATTGAGATCCCGACATTTGAGGTTCGACAGATTATGAACGTGAAACATTATGATATATAAAAGATTTATTTAACAAAAGCTAAAAATTAAATAAGGATTCTCGCTCTCTTGCAAGATTCTTTTCCGGGTTTTACATCAAAATTAGCAATCAAATTTTGTTGTTGGTTGATTTCTTTACATAAGGTGTAGGTACGAGTCTTCTCTTACCGGATCTTGACACTCCCACACACACGCATTCTATGAAATCTTAGTGCACAATGTACATATAACTTATTACTTATTTTGGTTAAAACTCCATATAGAAGGCTAAATGGTCTGTGTACCTCTGTCTTCCAAGATGTATCCCGCCCAGACTAACTTTCTTTGTGGCATTCTATATTCTATTTATCCTTAACTGGTGATGGCCAGCTAACGATCACCCTCACATTCGAAGGTTTGAAATTACAAAAGTGAAAGAATACTGTCTCTGCAATCGAAAGTACACCATTGACGGATTAACAAACATGTTGCAAGCTGTGAGATACCTTAGTTATGAGTGATATAATCCTCGTTTTTCTTTCATCATATATATAAAAAATAAATTTATTGACTAATTTCATAATCAAGTATGATTTTGAATCTTGTTCACTTGCATTTTTTGTCTGAATGATGATCAGCAATTTTAATGTGCACTTGCTGTGAGAATAAAACTTGATTGCTTGAACGATAGAACTATCTTTGTACTACTCGTAAATTATGAAAGAGATATATTTTTATCATGGTAATTTAAAAATTTCAGGTCCTCAAAACCTTCGACTTCTAAACGTGAAATTCCGTAACGAACAGTATTTTTAATTTTTTTTATTCTATGCAGTCATAGTTGTTAGCAAACAACGTGATATTCTGATAGCTTGTGGAGTACTGAACAACTTGTACGTAAAATGGGTATTTATATATCACATCGATTCATAGTAAAATGCTCAACTCTCACATCACCCTCAAAAAAGATTCCATTTTTTGAAATTGCGTAACGGTCACTATTTTTGGAACAACTTAGCTCTGGCTAAGGAAAAAGCCAATAAAATTTTTACTGGTAGTAGAACTTAATAGTCTCTGTTTATGATAAAAATTTCAAATTGTTAGCTTTTACTACTGAGGAGATATAGGTATTACAATGTAAAAAAATGAAATTCCGTAACATTTGGCCATACTCAACTATGATTTATATGACACCATACTTAATGAAGGTCAGTTATTAAAATACAATTGCACAATCTATTAAATATTCTATGTCACAAATTACCAACTTAGTGTGTCGATTACATTTAATTTCAAAATTAAACTGAAAGAGAAAAATTATTAGCATTTATATCGACGAAGAATGAGTACAGACAATTCTCAATTGCAAGAAAAATAGAAAAAACAATCGTTATTCAAATTAGTCTTTACAAATTAAGAAACAATCAAACAATCAATCGGTATAAATCCTTCTTGACTATGTTCATTTCGTACCCAAGCCCAATGCGGATGTGTTGAACGTAATACTTGTACAAGTTCATTTTTTCTAACAGTTAAATCTTCACAAAATGTTGCTGAATAAGTTTTCGTTATGGAATACCATCGATCAATTAATGTTGATGTCAATGGTCCTGGATGTTCATCTTCATCATCAGCAACAATAGTTTGATCATTTTCTTCATTTTGATGTATAATACGACGACTACTTTCTGCTAATGGTATTTGTATAGATGGAGTTTCTTCAATATTTTGATCATCGATTTCGTCGAGAAAAAGTTCTGAACGATGAGTTGTTAATAGATTATGTGATATATAGTTAATGATTGATGGATCACACCTCAAATGATATGATTTTGGTATTGTTGTTGTTGTTCGATTAAGTAATGATGTTGATGATGGCGATGATAATGAATAGTGTGAAAAATCACTTACTATCGATACACCTGAATCCATTGAATCTCCACTAATCGATGATATTGTGTCATAAGATGTATTCTATCAATAAAATAAAGAATGTCTGCATATAATTTGATCTTTTTTTAATAAAAACTAAATAAACCTACATTAATTAATGATGTTATTGTTGATTCAGATCGTTGCTCATAATGATCACTTAATGGTGAACAACAAGTACCATTATGATTAGAAATAGTACCACAAGATGTTTCTAAAATATTATTAAAAATTAATTTAAAAACTTCTGATCGGAATATTTTACCTACTTTTAATAGTTTTATAAAGAATACTTTTCATATGATGTAAACGAGCAAATACTTTCGCTGTTGTTTCTTCCATTTTATGTCGATTTGTATATTCGATTATTTCATTTTCATACATTAGACTGTTTTTTATGTATTTTATTCTTTTTCTTCTTCGTCTAAATGTTTGATATGATCAAGATTAGTCAACTATTTGACACATTTGTTTAATTGACCTATTTGAGATAATCCATTTTGTTTTTCTCTTTCTCTGTGTTTTCTTTTTTTTTTCGTTATAACAATTGAAATTATTTTCTATTGGCTATATTCGTATTTGATCCTATTTCAATTAATAGACTCATTTGGTGTGATCGTTATTTGTTTGATGGTAACTCATGTTGAGAACGAACGAGATATGAACGGCTGCCATCCACTAATGCTCTTCATTAGTCATTTGTTCAACTCAAATATTGCAGCATAAAAAAGACGATAATTTGTTGTTTTGATCTCGTTTCACTCGGATACAAATCTTTATCTACAAATATGTTTGTTTCGGAAACTTTATCTATTTCAAACAAATCATTATTCTACATTAAAAAAAGAACATTAACTTAATTCATCCTTTGTTAATAGTGCATTATCCAATTGATAATGTGGTTGCTAACATAGAAAATATTTTTGTAAATTAATTTGTTTGAATATTTCAACATGTTAATTTACTGAATGAAATCTTATTCTATTTGATTCTAAATAGAATACATTATCACAAACAATGAGATATTTTAAAAAACCATAGAAAAGTTAAGAAAAAAGGAATAGACAATTATTTAGTTTATCCAACAGAAAACCTATTATAAAAGTATATAAAAATCGGATGTAATAGTGAGATAATATTTTAGATCAAGAAAATCTTCATTTTAATACAATAATAAATTCTAATTGACAAAAAAAACCAAGTAGTGATAAAATCTATTAAAGATTTAATTAGTTTCTAGATTGGATATCAAAGATTCATGTATGAAAAGATGAAAAAATCAAGCAGTATGAATTAATCATCATCAGTTATTTACTTTTCGTTCAATCCAAGATGACAATTCATGAAGTCTATTTCAATACTGAAATTTAATCATCATTAAAAAAAAGATAGACTAAAGCAAATTCGATTAGCTTTCAAACAATATGATCAATTCCACCAGCTGTTTTCTCCCGAGCACCATAATATACATAAAAGAGTATGTATTGATAAAGGTTTAGACAATTTATTGTTCGCTGATTATTTTTCAATTTTGTTTGTCTTTTCTACAAGAATATAAATTATGCTTCTGAGTATTTATTGTTCGTTGATTACATAAAATATATTCCCATTAGGGTTTTTATTGTAGGAAGGCTTACTGGTCGTTCACAATTTGGAGGAACAAAAAATGGATAAACGGGAAGTGCGGATATGAATGGATCTTCGCTTCAATAACATCCGCACTCATATGTTGACGTAGATCTGAAAACATACAACCACACATCCCAAGAGGGAATAAGCGAGACTTTGGTATTCTAAAAGTTCTCCTTCCTCCCATTGTACACACCCACATCCTTGTAAAGTAGGCGAGTAGCTTCATAGAAAAGTTTCATTTGTCAAAATATGTTTTTTTCCTAATTATTTTCAAAGAAAAATAATGTAATTTGAAAACTGTACGAAAAAATGCTTACCTCGAAATGTTATAAGTTCAGTTCAAGTATGATTCAATTTTGTGAGTCTAGTTTTTATTCGAATAGACTACAGACAATGACTGTACTGTTGGTGAAAATCGTGAGTCAAAAGATAGCTTTTTACTGGAGCTGTACTAGAAACACAGTTGTCTAAAACTTTAGTCCAGCATTATATATAGAAATTTTTCAAAAGTCTTCCACGATTGTGGAATGAAATGTTTATTTGAATGCTTTATAAATTCAAATATCGATGTTGTCGCAGTACTGTAACTGGTCTTCATCGGTCGAAGAATATTTTAAATATAGGCCATTTTTTTCTGATAATGCTTGTTGAGAGGAAGTTTGTTTGCTCTGATGAAAATAATCAAACAGTGTTGTTTCACGACC